GTTCGCTGGGATTTCAGCCAATGCATGGAGGACCCACAAATGTACCATTGACCGTTATATATTGTGCATAATATAATGTGGCACCTGCCTCAGCCGTTCGCTGGGATTTCAGCCAATGCATATTATTGTGCATAATATAATGTCCTGGCAGGACAACGTTCCAAATTGAGTAGTCCTAGAACAAGTTGGAATTTTTAGCACTGGGATGGTCACTCTCGAATTGGTTCCAAGTCCTCCATACAGAGCACCTTACCATAGTCTCTCAAGACTGAAGGATGCCTAATCATCCCCACTATACTCCCTGCTTTCCTTTCTGGAAACAGTGGTCCAGGCAACCATCCTCTAGGAATGGTGCATAGCATGCCAGAACTACCAGATGTCAAGCTGGATGAATGCATTGGCAAAGCAGCTCCCATGTTCTCTAGACTCACAAAGAGAGTATGGCTCAATAAGAAGCTGACGGCATAGACCAAGATCCAGGTCTATAGAGCCTGTGTCCTAAGCACACTCCTGTACTGCAGTGAGTCCTGGACCCTTTGTGCACGGCAGGAGAGGAAGCTGTATGCATTGTCTCCGGCGCATTTTTGGCATCACCTGGCAGGACAAAGCTCCAAATAGAGTAGTTCTAGAACGACCTGGAATTTTTAGCATGAATACATTACTGAAACAGCTATGTCTACGTTGGCTTGGGCATGTCGTGAGAATGGCTGATGGTCGGATTCCAAAAGATCTCCTGTATGGAGAATTAGTGCCGGGAAATCGCCCCAGAGGGAGACCACAGCTGGGATACAAGGAGATCTGCAAGTGGGCTCTGAAGGCCTTAAGAATGGACCTCAACAGATAGGAAACCTTGATCTGAGCATTCAGCCTGGAGGCAGGTGGTGCATCATGGCTTCTCCCAATTTGAAGAGACCCTTGTCCAGCAGGCCGAGGCAAAGAGGCCATCCCGAAAACAGCAAAATCGGAAATCTGGGCAGAGGGCAGATTTCATTTGTCTTCAGTGTGGAAGGGATGGTCACTCTTAAATTGGCCTTCTCAGCTGCATTAGACGCTGTTCCAAGACCTCCATTCAGAGCACGTTACCATCGTCTCTCGAGACTGAAGGATGCCTACAAAGCAATGTGGCATTTCACCTCTTCTAGGGCCATGCAAAGCATTCTCTGTATACCATGTTGAATCTGGTGCACCTTTCAACCACCTCTTCCCGAACTGAACGAAGGACAACCAACTGAATGACGGCATTCACACACTACTTGATAGTATTAAGGTTAAAACAAAGGCGAGAAATTCTGATAGGGTATATCTTCTGGCCTGGGACCCGTCAGTGGCCACACAGACCATCCAAAAGGTTAAAAAAGTGGCGAGGGCACACAACAAGCATCCTTCTGATTATGAAAATTATGTTTGTGGGGGTGTGAAATGGCACAGTATGGGCCTATAAGCTAATTAGAAGGTCAATTACTATCCCTGTAATTAGCTGCCAAGAGGAAGATTATACTTTTTTTTTTTTTGCAAGTGGGAAGCACATACATGCCACTGAGTTGCAAGAGACAGTGAACCTAATAGAGCTTTTCAGGGGAGGGAGATATTTAAGGAGCAATTTTACCAGCCTTCTACCCCCAGTAGGCTTCCATGATTGAGCAGGGATTAGAAGCCACTTTTCCAGAGTCCTAGTGCATCATCACTCTACACTGGATAACTATTTCGTCTCTTGTTGTGAGGTCTTTTTCAAGTTTCCTCCAATTTATGGTGACACTTTTTGCAACGCTTTTGGCTGGTTTTGCGGCAACAAACACAGAAAACCCTCTCAATATGTTTCTTCCCTTATTATACATGTATTTTTAAGCTGCTCAAAGACTTCATTATATTAAGCAGCGTATAATATTCCTTCCTTCCTTTGTTCATTGATGCAATGCTCCCTGAGACACACTGGGTTTGTGCACTTTTTATCTTCTGGGAGAAAATAGCTAGGTTTGTAAAGATCTGCAGTTCAGTCTAGCAAGGCCTCCCCCCCTCCCCCTCCTAGCGTTTGGCTTTATATTTTTGGAAAAGTCTTTGGAGACGTGACTGAAGGTTTCGCTTCGACAGATGAATGCAAAAGGCTCGCAGACTTCCTCTTTCAGGATTGCTGTAGTGGCTGAAGGCACGCGTCTGAAGAGGTTTTCAATTTTTCTGAGTGGCTGCCTTGGGCATTTCAAGATACCTGGAATCAAAGGGTACCTCTTCAGAATTCTTTCTTTTGCCGTCTATGCCCCAGCAAATTCACTCTTACAAACGGCATGTGCACCGCTGGCAACAGATGTGTCTCTTCACAGGAAAGTTCTTTTTCTGCTTCCTTGGTGTTACTTCTTTCTCACACAATCTCACTCTCCATGTCCCTGATGAACCGGTGGAATGTGAGCAAAAATCAGCTGCCCTGTCCTTTGCGGCAGGCTACCACTATACAGTGGTGCCTCGCATGACGATGTTAATTCGTTGAGCGAAAATCACTGTAAAACGAAAACGTTGTCATGTGATTTTTAAAAGCCCATAGAAACGCATTAAAACCCGATTAATGCGTTCCTAGGGGCTTCACCGTCCAGCGAAGATCCTCCATAGCACGGCCATTTTCGCTGCTCATGCAGCGAGGAATCCATGCCAGAAAACACCAGGCAGCCATTTTTTTAACCTGGCGGCCATTTTGAAACTGCTGATCAGCTGTGCAAAAATAATCGCTTTGCGATGATTGGTTACTGAAACGGGACCGATCATCGCAAACCGAAATTCCCCCATAGGGAACATCATTTTGTGATCGCTTTTGCGATTGCAAAAACATTGACATAAAGTGATTCCGTCGTCAAACAGAGCACTCGTAATGCGAGGCACCACTGTATGTGGGACAGGAAGCGACAGCTAGAACTGGATATGGAACAATTGATTGGTTCAAAATTGAGAAAGGAGTACAACAAGGCTGTATATTGTCCCCCTGCCTATTTAACTTATATGCAGAATATATTATGCAAAAGGCCAGACTGGATGAATCCCAAGTCAGAATTAAGATTGCTGGAAGAAATATCAACAACCTCTGATATACAGATGATACCACTCTCATGGCAGAAAGTGAGGAGGAATTAAGGAACCTTGTAATGAGGGTGAAAGAGGAGAGTGCAAAAAACGGTCTGAAGCTCAACATAAAAAAAACTAAGATCATGGCCACTGTTCCCATCACCTCCTGGCAAATAGAAGGGGAAGATATGGAGGCAGTGACAGATTTTACTTTCTTGGGCTCCATGATTATTGC